ATGATTTTGTACTGGTACTTAATGGTTTTAGTTTCCGGTAATGATTTTGTACTGGTACTTCATTGTTTTAGTTTCCTGTGATGATTTTGTACTGGTACTTAATGGTTTTAGTTTCCTGTAATGATTTTGTACTGGTACTTAATTGTTTTCAATTAATTTTGTCTTGCTTCGTTTACAAACAAAATGCAGGAAAATATCTACGCTTAGACAAAAAAAAACTTGAAGAAATGAAGATCTACAGTCTGATGGGAAAATACAATTTGTTTGAAAAGAATTCTGAAGCAAATAATAGATATTATGCCAAAAATATTTTTTCGAAAAAAAAATCGGTCAGCAGTATTGCTGTTTTTTAACAAACAAAAAAATCCTGGTGACCTGACATGTATCAGTTCTGGGACAGACCATGATGTAATGAATATATCACTGTGTATTGTTTAGCAGTCTAGTCACTGCCCATGTTTGGCAGTCTTCAATATCAATCTATATCACTATTGTTTATGTGTGTCTGTGGCAACTTACCAATAAACGATGATAATAGCAGATAAACATATCAGTGTTTGAGCACACGGAGGAATTCTCTTCACATCAGTAATTAAAGCGGTAAAGGTTAGGCTATAACATTAGTTAGGTTGATGACTACGGCAGATATTGAAGGCGTTGACTGTTTATCTGACTGCTACACACCCGTGTCATGCTAAAATTAAATGCCTTTCCTTTGTCTTCCAGTATTTTTTGTCCTCGTGTAACAGGTGATTGTGTGGTGATCTGGACAACAATAATCTATTTTATTTGTATTGTTTATAAAACCAGTTACAACACGCAGTAATTACATTTCAATAAATTTTATTGACAAAGTTGATACAAGTCAATTGGATGGAATAACAGGCAAAGCCTAAATAAATTCTCTCCAGCAGTGGCTAAATTAACAGATTCTATTATTTTTATTTGATTTAATTAATACATCAATTTTGAAATGAAAATTATGAAAAAATAAAAAAATATTAAAGGGATGTAACTCCTTCTTAATTACATAACTGAAATACAAATACATTCACACTTCTCACATCACACACAAAACACTTCCACAGGTATTATTTTTTTTATAACATTTTACAATTGTATATAAGCTATATAGCTATCAAATCACACAGATATTGGCAGACATTGACCAAAAGTCCATGTGCAAATATATATGCACAGGTCACGGTCGCCAAAACTGTTAAGTTATTATAGTTTAATATGAAAACAGATAGCTAGTCTATGTGTAATTCAATGTATAAGATGGAAACTGTAAAACAAGACAGATTGAACAAATCTTACAACAAACAAACATGCTCAACTTAAAACTCCTATGTCTGTAGAAGAATACCATTTATAGAAAAGTAGGTAAAGTTACTTATTTGTGGAGTATAATTGAAATAGGAATAGTAAAGTATAAAAGTATAAAGTATAAGGTCATGGCTGGTTAGATAGTATAGAGATTAAAACGCCTCAATTTACCAATAAATAACTGTACATCATTAAGTAACTGTCTGTTTGTTAGTCCACCACAATCAGGACAGCCTTGTAGAAAAATGTTTGTATCAATATGGTTATGATTTCCATAGTTATCAACAGAAGTAAATAAAGTAAGTCTGAGATCATTATACAATGGACATTCAAGAAAATAATGGAAAACTGTTTCATATTCAAAAGAGCAAGCACAAGAGGGACAGTCAGTTAAATGGTCATTGAATAAATCAAAATTTAAATTGCTACAGAAGTTTCTAAGTTGACAAAGAATAATATTGGCCCGTCTATCACCTTCAGTTTTAAAAATTAAGGTTGATTCATTATCGATAATAATATCTTTATTCAGTTTGTGTTTAAAGGTTGCAAGAGTTGGGGAATTTAAGAGATCATTATCAGTAGTGTTATTTGTGTGGCACATGAGAGGGAGGAAACTGTCAAAATAATTGTTAGTTCTGCATATTGGTGGATTAAACAGTCTTAATATTAATGGTGTGACAGCTGTCTCTCTTGTATTGGCTCAATGAAGAGTCCTTGAAGTTATGATTTGTTCTTCAATAACAGGTGTAACTGCCTAACGTTATACTTACTTTCATTTTACATACAGATTGTTTGTTGAACTCAACATTAACCCTTTCACCACTGTAGACCATAATGGACCCCTCCATTTCAATGCATGATATCGCTGATAGAGTCTACTAAAGTTACATAGGGATGAAAGGGTTAAGACAGTATTTATACAATTGTATACATTGTTTAACTGTCTAATGATGTCCCCTTTCTCCTCTATCAACACTATTAAACACTGTGAATGTCACTGCTCACCGATGCTGGATTATTTTGCCAGACCCCCGGTTTAATTCCCAGCGGAGACATTAGATAGAGCTCGGTACTCTTCCCTCCCTGATCAAGTGCCTAGGTAATGTTATCTTTCCTCAAAGTGTATTAGGAGTCCAGTTAGATCAATAACACCTCATCAGGAGCTAATTCCTTCAGAACTCCCTGGATGATGGAATGTTCCAATTCCATGTAGTACACAATAGAAGTAAAGGAATGTATATATTCATTTTACTCCGTCACTTTTGACTTACTGGCACTTGCTCCGGCACTGTGATGTGGCGTTTGTGTAGGAAGGGGCATAACTCCTGTAATATTGTTACAGATGTTTTCTTGTCACATAAAAAAGACAACATTAAGATAATAGGATTGTGTCACCATTTCTCAGTAGAATTTCTTCAAATTTTGTAGTTATATTGCTTTGAAGTAAAGAAAATTTTCTGCCACAAAAAAATTGTTTGCAAAAATAAACAAATTTAATTAATGTTGAAATTGTGTAAAATAAATTATCTATGAACGATTAAAAATTGACATTTTATAATAAAATCATATACACATAGTAATTGCATGTAAGAGTTATCTGTCTTGAAAAACTTCACAGTAGTGAAAAAGGTAGCGGGTTTCCTGAAGTACAGACAAATGGACACATGTGACTCATTGATGAAAAACAACTGCATTAATGCCTGGATTGCTTTGAAATACTTTAATAGTGTTAATATAGTAAACGAAACCCAAACCTATCACTATGTTTCTACAGCTAAAGGGTCTACCCTAGATAACCAAGGTAATATCTACAGCTATAGAGTCTACCCTAGATAACCCAGGTAATATCGACAGCTATAGGGTCTACCCTAGATAACCCAGGTAATATCTACA